AGGAAGCCGGAGTACCTGGAGGGAACCCACGCAAACACGAGGAGAACATGCAAACTCCACACAGAAAGACCCCGGCCTGATGGTGGAATTGAACTCAGGACCTTCTTGCTGTGAGGCAACAGTGCTAACCACCGTGCCACCGTGCTGCCCATCTTATATCTAAAGAAAGAAAATGTGAATGCAGTGTCCTTGTTGTTGTTGGTAATATTAGGTGGATATTACCACAGTGTGGCTGTAACTGCAGCCATCACAGTGTGTTACAATGGCAATAAAACAAGTCATTCTGCTATTAGTCTTTAAATAGGGTCAAGTTGGCACTTACATGTAATCTGCTTGTGCTAACGTAACAATCGAGTATAAGTCAGGGAAATTTGCAAACATGTTTTGATCAGCATAAACACAAACTCACATTAACTTTTTAGCTTCAGAGTCCAGCCAGAACCTCGAAGATGTGGAACAGAAATTAAGGAATTGCTCCACAAATAATGATGCAGTTGTTGCATGATGGCAATTTAACTGCAAAATTACACAGCGTCTTGGCAACTTTGCTTTGATATGGGAACATAACAACAATGCAATCAACTGGTAAGAAGATGAGTCAAGTCCCAAGTGTAATCTTATGACAATCACTCTGCATTTCTAAATTTGGCAACAATTATTTGGAAAACTTTGATAATCTTTCCGAGACTGCACTCAGTCTGAGTCAGACTGCAACTGTTTGGAGGCAAGTTGCCTCCCACGAGAACGAAAACTGGCAACTATCTTGCAATTAAAAATAATTAGCCCAAACAACTTCTATAATCAGTTGCTGGACAAATTCAGTACTATTGCCAGGTAACCACTGATTTTTTTTTTACCACGGAGCTCGCTGTCCTATAGCGTGGTCGTCCTGCTTTCTGCCTATGTCAACAAGCCTCAGTAGACATAAAGCACCCATCCTTGGTTCTTCTACTCGTTAGTCCCTCTCACCTGACAGAGATGTGAGTGGAGAACAGTCGATGCAACAGGCACTGATCAGAATGAGACGTGCTGGCCTCAGAGCTGTTACTTTAGTGATGTGAATAAAATGTTTGACGTGTCTGCATCATAAATAGTTTTGTTACAGCTGGATTTTATGAGCTCAGGTGGAAGAGTGTTTATACTTCATGCCGCTTTTAATTAAATTCACGGCATGCCAAGATGTGACAGGATATAATGTTTTTAATCACACAGAGACAGTGAAAAGGAGAAAGTCTGATCATCTTAAATAACTAAGAAAGAAAAAGTTTTCATTTTTTTTAAACCATGATTGATCTGTCCCAGCTGTGCACTGCACCTCTTTTATGCACTGAAGGTAAAAACACTTCTGCAAAGGATGCACCTGTGTGTCCTCAATTACATCTCCTCCTACAGACTCCCCTCTCATCTGTCCTCCAGATGCATTTAAAAAAACCGAGAGATCCTTCATCACAGCATAATGAGACCGATTTCTGGGTTAGAGACATGAGGATGGACATTTAGACCTCAATAAAATAAAAAATAAATCAGTCTCCTTCTAAATGAATGCTATTCATTAGTTTCCAAAATGCTCTTTCCACGGGAGACGACTTTTAAAAGGCCAACAAGGCTAAAATATTAAAACTAAGTGGAACTTATTGATGGCTGTAACAGATAAAACCCGCCTGGTGTCTGGATCTTGGTCAGAAAGCATCAGAGGTGTTTTAGAGCAATGCAGTGAGCCCCAGTGAGGCCAGCTTGCAACAGTGTCAGGTGCCCAGGGCTGCTGGACTTTGATTATTTAATACAAGGCAACAGAGGCCGATCGATCAGCAGAAATGCTTGATGCTAAAAGCTACTGGAGCGTGGGGTTCCTGCCACACCGGGCCCTCCAAATGTCACACACTGCATCTAATAAGAGTGCTCTCCACGCTGCAGTGAACTTTATATCAAGCCTGTGACTTCCTCAGCACTCAGCATTGAGGAAGAGTTGTTTGTGCTGTTGTTTTGCTCAGTGGATGTCTGCAGGCACCCACAGGCAGACTTTTCTGTTGATGGTCATGACTTCAAAGATGGAATTTCATTAAGGCTGGTGTAATTAAAGAAGACCTATTGTGTTCATTTCCAGCTCCATATTTCTATTCTTGGATTAGAGTAGCCTTTAATGTTTCACAGTCCAGTGGGACTATGTTGAGCCTCTTAGTTTATCCTCTGTAAAACAGGCCATTTTAGTTCCTTTTCCCATCTCTTTTAGCCAACTTTCTAAAGCCAAGATCAGAGGAAAACTGTCTGAAACAATGTTTGGTGAGAGCAGGGTCAAGTCTGACCTCAATTGTACATATTCATTATATGTAGCTGCAACTGCAGCAGCTATCCGGAAGCAGCTGGATAGCTGTTTCACAGTCCAGTGAAACAGCTATCTACACACCTGTGACCACTGTGCATGAAGGGCATGGTCCCTCGCTATAACGTAGTTCACTCCTGTACAGAATTCATTCAGCTTTTCAAATTTACATAAATCTTCAATCGCTAGCAGTGTGACTCTGAAGTGCTGTACTGTATGTTTGTACGTTTTCTCCCCAACAAACACAACAATCTCGAAAAAACACCTGCAGGTGTCTTTGGTTTCATTCTATAATACTAGACTTATTTTTCTACAAAGGTTTGAACTTTGAGTGTTTAAACAAGAGAACAGTGTGAAAATGTTCATGCCGGTCTGAGAAAAGTGTAAAAAGTGTGTAGTGAGGGGTTTTAAAGCCTTAAAACATCTATAATATAATAAAAAATAAAGTTGGCTACTTCGCAGATTTTATCTATCGCGGCTAAATGAGATACCACTGTAATATATATTCTCTATAGTGTTAGTTAGTTTTTTAATATAGGCTAATTTCCTGTTTCCTCTAAAATCTTTTTTAGACGAAGTAACAATGGAGGAAGTGGGACAGACGACCCAGCTGCGGGCTGGGGAGCTCATCATCATCGTGGTGGTACTCATCATGTGGGCAGGTGAGGACAAACCTGTTCAGTAAACCAGGATCAGACGGCCTTTGTGTGGATTACACTCGATTTTCCCAATTTTCTGTAAATACAACACAAAATCCAGCTTTTAATGTTTAGACGATAACAATACCCAGATTTGTCCGATCATGAATGCGAACCATCTCTCCCCCAGGTGTGATCGCCCTCTTCTGTCGCCAGTATGACATAATCAAAGACAACGAGCCGAACAACAACAAGGACAAAGCCAAAAACTCCTCAGAGTGCAGCACTCCCGAGCATCCGACGGGGGGGCTGTTGCGCAGTAAGGTATAACCCACCCCCCTCCCCTCCTCCTCTCCCCGGGTGTCTCCCCCTCAGCGGCGCCGGGCAGGTGAATGGTCCCGGCCACTTCTAGACTTTTTTCCACTGACACTTCATACGCTCCCATGGTGTCATCTGAGCGTCAGGCTAAAGCTGAACATTGCTCCAACATGGCGCCATTACGTGCATGACTACGCAGCATCAGCTCGCAGCAGCCCTCGAGTCATGGCTTCCAATAAGTTCTAATTGATCAATGCACAGAGCCCATTTCATAACCATGTATCGTGTGCTGACAGCACAAGTCCAGAACTAATCTTTATTCCTTTCACTCTCCTACAAACATCAATAAAGCATCCAAGTAGCAGCAGAGGCATCCTCATACTCATTGAATTTTATTGTGCGACTCCTGAGTCCTGCGGTCGTCTCATACCTGTCGTCTTCTTCTCTCCTCCCACAGTTCCCCAAGAACAACAACAACAACAATAGGATGCCATCTGTCAACATCATTGAGGTGTGACTGCCAGGACGTCTTCTCTTTACCTAAAAGACTTTGTGTTCTCACAAACAAGCAGGCCCCTTTTAAGCCCATCTGCTTGTCAGGATGACGCTGGGACTCTGGGCCCCTCGGCAGCGCCTTCTCTCCTTCGGGCCTGGCGCCAGAGCGAGGCTGCAGGACTCTGGGTGTCGAGCATGCTCCCTCCGCCTGCGCCGGTGTGAAAAGCAGCGGCTGCTCCGTGCTCAGTGACTACTGCACTGTGGGGCGGCAGCGATTAGAGCCGAATGGCTCTGGTGTTGGAGAGACTGCAGATAAACAGGCCCCAGGGACCAAAGCTGATAAACAGAGCCAGAGACCTTTTCATTCTCTCTGTCACCTTCTTCTCAGCGTCTTGCGGTGTGTTATCAGTGACCGCAAAACCTGGGCATTTCCCTTTTCTGGGTTGAAATCGTCTCCTCTGCTTTAATCTTTTATATCCACGCATAACTTCATCATTACATGTTGCATTCTGTACTCTTAAATGGGCTGTTAGGGTGTAGTTGTTTAAATTTTTACAAGGTGCCACCAGTACAGTTTTGTTGTTCTGGTATTTTTGTTTCATTGATCCTCTCTCGGGCAGAAGCTCTTTGCAATCTTGTGGATTCACTTGGTTTTTTTCCCGCCCCCTCAGGGAATCCAGACTCTACCACCTGGCTAATTAATGAGATGTTTCTAAAATGTGTTGTGACAACGCCAGAGCAGCTTTTGAGAGGGCTGCTACCAAAGCTGAATCACCAGGACTCGATCAACAAGATAAAAACACTTAAAAGGAACCTCTGATCTGAACAAATATTCACAATAGAGTTCATGAGAAGCCAGGTTTCATCCTACTTCTTGTCCCTCATGCTTTTATTCTGAAATGTTACATTCCATGTCCAGAATGAGCCCTTTAGTATTCCCTCGTGTCTTTCTCTCTGAGGGGGATGAATCTCAAAGCATTCTGGAGAGGAGCAGAACTGCCATAATGGAGTGCATTCATCTAATTAACGAACTCTAAAAGGGGCTGGACTCTCGGAAGAAGTGGTCTTTCCTCTTCAGAGACACACAGGAGATCTCTTATATCAGCAATAACAGCCCTCAGAGGAAGTGCAGAATCGAGGACTCAAACGCCGCAGCCTCTTTGAATAAAATCCCGACCTCTCAGCATGTTGTAATGTTCAGGCAGACAAATGAACTGCACGTCCAGTTTGGAGGAAATTAACTCCGAGCCCCAAACGTCCTTAAGCGCTGTTGTAAAAACTTTGGTTTCCAGTGGTTAGCATGGGATTTTAAAAATAAACTAAAAAAAAAAATCTTTTTTTTGTTAAATGGGGCCCAACTTGCAACCCTACGATTTCTTTGTCACCAGACAGAAGGGCTTCTATTCAGACTTTTTCACCAGTTTAAAGTCAACATCTGTGCTGAAACATAATGGTATATGGCACATCTGGGAGCAAAATGACGCATTCGAGGGCTGATTCAAACTCAGTAGTACTGCCTTAAAAATAAATCACACCATATGATTTATCTAATAAGATGGAAGCCCCTGTATCTCACACCGTGATATTTATCTTCCACCCAGTATTTAAATGTGTGTGCAAAGAAAAAGGGAAACATTACAGATCGATGCCGTGTTGTCTGAAAAGCTGGAAGAGGTGGCTGGCCTTTAATGTGTAAATACATTTAAAATTCCACTCTTGTTTGGTAGCATCAGTCTGAAGAGCTTTTAATGAAATATGACAAGACTAAATGGAAGATATATAGTCTCGTATTGTAAGAGGGTACCGCTACTGCTAGTGAATTTTTTTTGTTTAGACACGGCTGTTAAAGTCCTGTTATTGAATACGTTTTTCATGGCACTCCTCTACCGTTATGTGCTTCTATTATGTCATTATGCTGTTTATGTGCATTAAAAAGAAGAGTGTTTTCGATGAGGGACAAAGCCCTGGATATTTCACATAATCACCCAGGCGTGGTGTTCGAGGGCCATTCAAGCTGCTGGGAATCCGTATCGACGGGCAGCTTCTCATTCTGTGATGCACCGACTCGTCTTTTACTGCGAACGCAACAGGTCCCGGCTCCTCAGCCTTGAATGCAGTGGAAAAGGGAGGCAGTTAAGAGAAAAAGCAATGAACAGAATGAGTAGACTGATAACTAATGCAATGGCAGGTTTCTATCACTCACGAGCAGCGAGCCCTGCTATTTGCTGCACACCATTTCCCCGGTCTCCTTTCCCAATTTCTTCCTCTTCACCGCAACTGTCACATGAAGGTTTAAAATGTGAGTCTGTCTAATGTAAAGGTCTCTCCTGACTAACACTTCTGTCTAGCCAGGACAAACTTTGGGAAATTTTCTGTGAAGTGATCACCACTTTACTTAAAACACTTCACTTTACTCAGCTGAAGGCTGAATCCGTTTTATCCCCCCGGAACATTTTCCCCGGTGGCAGACTCTCCGATCAATCCGTCCACACAGTGAAGGATAATGACGAGAATCGTCTCCAATGATATCTTTGAACATCCAACAACATATTTATCACCTGCATTCCCCGAAACAGTGAAAGTCCTTTGCTCCTCTTTGGCATCGAGTCAGCTAGCAACGTATGAAGTTCATTTTAAAAGTTGTGATGATGGTACGCGTGTTGACACTGTAAATACTGTATTCCTTATTAAAGATTTAAATGTAGGGCTATCGTGGCAGGTTGTCAAACTTTACCAATAAATAGTTTGACATTTTGGGAATTTGCAGTTACACGAGAAGATCGACACTTCTCTTAGCAGCTGGTTAAATTACAGCCAACACATTCTCAAAGTAAGGCATCGAATGCCAGCACGTTGCTATCCTGGGGAAGAAAATAATCCTGTTTTGTCAGATGCTACAAGGTGCTGTTACCTTAATGCACCAGCCACAGCCACCACAACACAACAGTCCAGTTTTAAAGACCCACAAAGTGAACATTAGGAAGTTGGAAGTTTGGGTCGTCTGCTGTTCCCGTTGGGAGCTTTCTGTTTAACTCTTCAGTCGCTCTTCAGCTGTGTAATGAAAGCTGGAGCTTCTTGGGTTAGAGTTCGCACTGGGTCACTCCACTTCACTTCACTTTCCTGTCTAATGTTTGATCCGCAGCTGTCCCAAAGTGAATGCAAAACCAAGGGGTCCTATGCTAGTGTCCAAATTTCATGATTACAATTAATTTCCGTCTCACTAACCTCATAAGTCCCAAAGAACAACTGTGTGCATCTGTGAGAAACCAGCAGTTTTAACAAAACAGCAGTATTTGCCCCCTGGGAATGAGAATGGGTTGCTGGCTCGAGCAACAGTACAAACGTGGAAGCGCAGTCAGTCTCTTCATCTAACTAATGGCTGAGAAAGCCATCAAGTGGATGTCTGAAAGTGCCAACCCTTTCCCTTAAGGGTTGCAGCTTCAGCAGCTGAGCACTAGGTGAGCTCTCCAACTTAATACATGAAAATTATTTATTTGGTTTTACACACAAGTGTTTGACCATGTTTAACAGCTACACAGCGGCATAACATGTCTAATTAAGTGGAAGGCATCTGGGTATCTAATTAGAGTCCACTCATTACAGACAGTGGACAGTGCAGTTCGCTCAGCCCATCGCTGCTGCTACTGAAAAACTGATTACTGGGATTTAAGTTGGCTGAAGGCAACACCCAGCTGCTACCACTCTGACTGGAACAGGTTAAGCAAACGGTGGCCAGATGAAAAATCTTTCCTTAATCGCACTCGACAACCGGTGACGACAGCACGAACTCAACATTCCACGTGAGCCCTGTGGCGTCAAACCACTCATTAAAAAAGGCCCGAAACCTTTTCGCCTGCTACCGTTTGTGCTAAATCAATGCCTGAGGGGGGGGGGAACGATGCTCTGTTGCAGTGACGGACCGTTTCGCAACAATCGCTCGATTTTAACAACTTACACATCATGTGTTTTGTTTTAGAGTAGAAACATGCCTGGAAATACATGAAGTTTGACCGTTTCATTATGGGATTCTTGAAATTTAGGAATGAGGATGACGAAGAAGCATGGTTTAGTAAAAATTAACTGCTTTACTAGTGCTATCATGTTTATATTCATTGTATGGAGTGTACAGCAGTCATTGCTTAATGAGGGCTAGCATGGTTTAACTATTATGCACAAGGTTACACAACTTCAATTATGAAGAACATGGTGTATGCTTACTTGTGTATGCTTAAATAAAATATCTAATATTTTCAAAATAGAGGTGTGTGTGTTTGCTCCTTGTTAAAAACCATGAGGACAGCTGGTAATGCACCAGAGAACAGATGCGACTGGTGATTTCTAAGCTTTAAGAAAAGAAAAATAATATATATTTCAGCAAGAAAAAAGCTTAAATTCAGCAGACTACAACTGACAGGCTTCTCCTACGTTTAAATAAAAATACAGTTTAGTTTCACGGTTGCTGTGGAGGAATCAAAGTTTGACAAAGAGATGTGTCCTGCTGAAAAATGCAGCCGTCAACGTGGTTTTGGGCGAATGCATTTGCCGTCCAGTCAGCAGCTAAGAAAACGTGCATGAATTCGTAATGGCTCAGAAATCAATGAGGCTTTAGCAGCGAAACGACAAATCACTCGAAGCCTACTCGAGTCCAACATTAGACTGCATTTGCTTTCGCATGTATCAATACGAGAGCGACCGCCGGCTCGACTGTTTGGCTGAGCAGGCGAAACGAGGCGGTGGGATTTTATAGCTGACTCGTTATTTGTAGTCTGTTTTGACAATTCCCAACACAGCTGCAGGAAAACTGTGAGGCACGTCAGGTAAACACAAAGCTGTGTTACTGCCTCCGAAGGAAAGAGGAGGGGGGTGGAGTATAACACACAAAATAAAACACAGCTGGAAGGTGTGGATCAGCGCGCCAAGTGCCCTGCAGTCTGCAGTTTCACGAGGCCTATGCTGACACACACCTACATACCTTCTGGCTGGCCGGGCGGGGACAGGCTGCCCTACTATCTGCACAGACGGGATTACTTTAACCGCATGCATTATTCGTGGAAAAGACCCCTGCTCCGTGTTTCTGGGCCGCCTGTGTTCACCTGGGCTGTCAGAATAAAACTGACAAAATGCAGCATTATTCACCAAACATTAACACGGGAAGACAACTGTAGTGGGAGCTGAGCATTATTATGATGACTCTCTGACTCTAGGGAGTGGGTTCTCTGCTAAGAGCCGGTGGCACTTACACTTTTCATGCAAGGTTTAATGAGAGCACAGTGCATTGAATCCACCGAGCAGCAAAGAGTACAAAGAGGTCGCTGCTGCTTTACAATAAAAACAACAACAATTTAAACGAATATCTATAATTTAAACACCTTCCTGTTTAACCCCAAGTTGTAGTGTGTGGCCAAAGAGGTAATTTGATTAGCAGTTCAAAAGAAAAGGTATGAAATCTCCACCATCAGGAAGATCCCTCAAACCTCAGGAGAGGTAAACGCTGCTCTATATGAATTAATACAGTACTGCACAAAAGTCTTGAGCCACCATCACTTCTTTGTTTTGATTCCAAGCAGTCAGACTTCCTAAGAGTTTTTTTTAAGGTGGCTTTGAGGAATAGTTCTCCAGCTTTCTGCAGGTCTTTCAAAGTGTTTCTTTGGACACTGGCTGCTTTTTCAACCATTTTCAGTCCAGACCCTGTACCTGAGCATTTTCAAATGATTATTTGTTAAGCTGCTTAAAACTAAACTATGACTCACTCAAGGGAAAAAAAAAAAAAAGGGTAACGTAAGAGACTATTTTTAATTGTATCTTTAGGCACCTTGGTAGTAGCAGTCTGTTGCAGAAACTTGTCATTTGTTCCCACCACAATACCATCTGGAAAGCATTTGATTGGCAAAGCTTCATGTTTCCAACATGATAACGATCCCAAACACTTCCAGTCCAGTAAAAGCAGACCTGGACAGAAAAATACACAATGAAACACTACCAGTCAACAACTGGCCTGCCCAGAGCCTGGACCTCAACATCACTGAAGCAGTGTGGGATCCTCGAAACACAGCCAACATCCAAAGGAGAGTTCTGAATGTCCTCAGAGAAGCCTGGAGAACCATTCCTGAAGACTACTCAATGAAATTATAAGGAAGCTGCCGAGAAGAGTTCAGACTGTGTTGAATAAAAAGGTGGCGATACCAAATAGTGACTTTCAAGCTTGTTAGAGTTGTACAGACTTGCTTTGCATGCTGCATTTCTATGTTTGCTCATCTGTCAATACATTGCTGTACCTCTTTCCCATTTTCATAGCAAATATAAAAATAGAAATACACAAATATTTTTTGTTTTTAAATGAGGGGTGGCTCAAGACTTTTGCACAATAGTGCATCTGATCCTAAACAGTCAATGAGACATTTGTCCTTTTTGCCTTTATATCAAATTTGCACAGTAGACCAAGCTTATGTTTGAATTCCATTTTTACATTATTTTCTTACTCTCACACTGTTGAACAGCCGGTGCTCCAGCTCAAGGATTGAAAATTAAAACTGTCTTACGCACATCTAAACACTAATTTAATCGACATGCTGCGATACTGAGAGGTCCGTTACCTTACACACTGCAGGCTTTTCTCCACAGCTTCAAACTTAATAAAATTACAACTTTATCAATTCAGACGTACTTTTCCAGTCTTCCTGCTAACGCACTTTTAGGTGAATATGCTTGGAGTTGGATTAACAAACCCCAGGTTGAGCTGAAAAGCTCACCCTGATTGCTGATGTTTAAGCAAGTGAAGTCAGACATGGAAGAGATATGCTGGATATCCTGAGCTTGTGTCACAGTGCAGGAAAAAACCCCAAACACTGAGAAACCCCAAACATCACTTTCAGCTGATGCCTTTAAAAGAAAGCACAAAGGACATTTGTTTAGGCCACAATCCTAATAAACAGGCACGATTATGAAAAAAGAAATTGCACTGAGAACTGTTTTATTCCCAGAGAGAGTATTATAATTCAGGACACAATCAGACACATTTACACCACCGGTAATGTTGGACGAAGATGAAACAGCTGGTATGTGGGTGAACTGACCTGGCAGGTATGACATAACAGCCTGCCTCCATATCAAACTCAAAAGTGCGTCAGTAAGTGTGCCGCAAACAGCTGCTTGCAAATCCTGATGATAGCGAGCACATGTTTCAACACATTACAGAGTTTTCAACCATTTAAAAAGACATTTCACCTGCCTGAAAAGTTTTCCTGCTTCTTCCCCATATCAAAATATGACAAATCCCTGATAACCTGTGATGTACTGATCCAACTTTCTCAGTCAGATAGATACCTTGGCTGTGAGTATCTGTTAGCCATCCGCATTTCTCACTGTGACGATGAGGCTTGAACATCGTTTTCAAAATTGTAGATGACTGTGGAATTGCCATTAGCCACGCTTTTCAGACGTCAAAACAAATCAACACTTAATTAAAAATAACCAACAATCTAGAAAAAAAAAAAGAACTTGTTAGCGTATCAAGCAGGATATTATGTGACAGCTCGTAGGATAGTGAAGAATTTAGCAGGACAGATGGGCCCGATGTCACTTGGAAGGATGCAAGTACTGGATCGGCACACACCACATTGAAACATGCACCAATTTTTAAATGAAAGACAAACATAGAATCTAAAGAAAGAAAGAAAAAGCAAAAGTGCAACAACAAAACAGACAAACCAGGCAACCAAATACAAATTCACCCAAGAAACAGAAAAAGTGCAAATATTTGACACAAGGAAAAACGAGCCCCTTCCAGACACACACTTTCCTCCTCAGTAGCCCACTGCCCGGTCCACACAGCTGCACTGTACCAGAGGCCCTGCACTTGTATGAATACACTAATTACCAATAACACGTACATATTTTCTTTTCAGTTATTAAAACATTATTTTTATCGAGAGGAGGGGTCTCTTTGTGTGCGAGGGGCGGAGTACAGCTCTCTCAGCAGCACTCTGCACCTTCTTATCGACATCAGTGGAGAGAGCTAAATATTTAAAGCGTGGCTACACTTCACTACAGCTACAGTGCTTGTGCGTGCTGTGCCTCTCTCCATGACGTCTGAATGTTGCCAGCAGCGAGGTTATGCATGTCTGAAAAGGGCCGTATTACACCATAACAGTAAAGGGTTTTTTCACACAGTGTTTCTTGCTCAGACATTTTAGAGTCGAGGACAGTGGTATCTTTCAAACAGTTTAGGAACTTTTGAAAAGCGTTCGTGTGAGCCATAGTTCTTGCGTTGCCATTCTCGGAGCGTCATCTCTGGCTTTGTACCAAAGCGACTCTGGTAATTTCTGAAATTAAGCAGATTCAGATGGAGATTATTACAACTTTAAATAAAGCTAAACTAAAACTAGATATAAAACATGACATTATGTGCTTGTAAAACTAAATTTAGAGGATATTTTCATTTAATCTTTGACAAATCTTTTTCTTTTTTTTTCTTTTT